GGGGAAAAAAAGCGAGATCATCTGTATTAAAACTGCTACCATAGGATTTTCCACATTCATTAGAATCACGAACCTCCATAAATTCATAACACATTTTTCCTAAAAGTTCAATTTTTAAAAATACTAATATTAAATGCATTGACTTCGCAACCAATCCCAGATCACACTAAAAACAAATATTAGTTAACATTTTGCAACTTCTTCAGAGGTTAAGCCGGTACAGAAACTAATAGCATATCTTCATCGTTTCCAGCATGAAATGAAAAACTTTATTGTCCATGTTCAGTCACTTTCCCATTGAAATTGCCCCTAAGAGCGCAACATGAGTCGAGTTCGTATGAACCACAAGAGCTTAACTACCTAAAGTTTAAACGGAACAACGGGAAAATAGTGCTAAAGTCAGCATACATATGATATTCGATTCGCCATCGCGTCTAGAATAATTTATATGGTATTTCATAAGCAGAATTCTCTCCTAAACATAGACCCAACCAGCTTGTCAATGAACCATACTCCTAGGCTTGAGATGCGGAAATTTTAGAAGTATAGTCTGCATGCGCCGATAAGAAAAATTATTGTCATCTATATTTATTAACTTTTTTCTCTACCACTTCACCTCGTTAAGAAAATCTGACAAACTGTGACAGCTTTCTATCTGTATAATCGTGCAGTTTGCATCTGTCCTACTTAATCAACTTGTCTTTCGTCTCGGATATCCGTCCCTTGGACTTTGAAAACTGATATTCACGAGTGGGTGTACCGAGGTTCATTATTACACAGTCACACCGAGCAAAACCTTATCACATAGCAACTAGGCAGAACATTCGGCACTCGCTTACATTCCGATTAATTCCAACATTTCAAAATACCTCTCGGACTAATAATTGGGAATCGGAGTAGATAATATAATCTTCGTTCTTCCGACTATCGGTGAAATGGGAACTTGGTTAGATATCGCTGCTAGCGGGCATGTATCGGGATCGTACCTTTGCATGCGCACATCATGGCGCCTTAGCTCCTCCTCATTCACCTCCTCGATCGCGCCCGACCCGCTCTAGGCCCCTCGCTAGCGTCACCTTTCACAAACATAAAAAACACACTTTAACCCATCATCGGCGTCTTATCAACCTGACCGCGCTCCGTCAAAGGCCAGAAGCGGAACGACCAAACGAATCGATATATAACAATATATAGAAACTAGACGCGATTCTGCACAAATTCTGAAATCCCTGCACGAAGACCGGGTTGCTTAGGTCTCACTGACAACACAGTGTGAGGCGATTGCTGATCGGCTCAATGTAAGGGTCCGCCCTCACATAGAGCGCAGCAATAAGTCACATTCTTGCCTAAGCCGCGAAAAATGCAGACACCGCCATTCACGGGTCGAAAGTACGACTTTTTAATAAGCGATCCATTCGGGATACTCAGGTATTATAAATCTGGATCCCCCCCCAAAGATCTGGCTATCCCCCTTTTTTGGATGTACACACTATAAAAAATGGCACTCGTTACCCTATAAAAAAATGCATGACATGCGTTACACCTAGTACATAAAAGCAGACACCGAACGCGTGTTACACCTCCACTCAAAAAATGCAGATACGCGTACCCCTTAAAAAATCGCAGACACCGCGTACACTATTAAATGAAAGTGTCAATGACACTGTACTCACCACAAAAAAGGACACCAAATGAGTGAGTTGAAAGCAAGTCATTTTAATTGACATAATCCATCGACGTACATTTATAGTGAGAATAACAGAGTAAATATGCGGAGAACTCCCCATTATATACCTCTGATAATCTACTATTGGAATTTATCTGATAAACTAAAGTTTAGCTGTGAAGTCTGAGATGTGGGCGAGTGATGGCGTTACACCTTAATCGATCCAATTAACTTTTTACTAATATTAACCTGCCTAAAAGCGGAGGCTCCAAATTGTAACTGTTACAGATTGAGAGGCATACACTTATCCACGTAGCGCTATATCTACCTGCCGATGTAGCTGCAATATAGCTGCGATGCGCTGTTCCGAAATAAATCAGGTTAGGCTGTGTCCGACATGTTTTTGTAAAACTTTACTCTAATATACGACCTTTCATCGGCAGGTGTAAAGGGAAATACTCTTAATTTTTCATTAAAGATATTTCAATGAACAATCCTTGTGAACGAACCATAGAGACGTGGGACACTCACAGACTGTTACGTGCGTGTCTTAATCATAATGCTAATACATTGCAAAACTACTGTAATTTGCATAATTTTTTAAATTATCAAAACCCCCTGCCCTATCATTCACATACTCAAAAAATGAGGAAAAACTCCGTTGAACGCTGAACAACTACAGGGCAATTCCTCATTTTGCCAAGAAATTTTTTGGCCCGCTGGCTGCGTACAAGTCACGTCGACTGGCGTCTCTAAAATAGGAACGCTTCAAACCTCTGCCACAGCAGTAACAACTATTACCCAATGTTCAAACACATGTGGTCAAACGGTTCCTGAGTTACGTATGACCGTAGCCAAATTGTTGATGGAAGGGACGGACGGACGGACGGACGGACGTACGACGGACGATGACCCAATGGCAATAGAGCTCATTCTTGACGATGTCAAGGTAGCTAAAAATGGGACACTGCGTACACCTATTAAAAAATGTAGACACGCGTTACACCTATCAAAAATTGCGGACACGCGTTACACTTATTAAAAAATGTTAGACACGCTTACAACCTTATCAAAAATTCAGACACCGACTAACGACCTATAAAAAATGTTGGACACGCATTACACCTATCAAAAATGGGACACGCATTTACACCCTATCAAAAAATGCTGGACACGCATTACACCTATCAAAAAAATGCGGGGTGTACGTGCTACACCATCCTATTAAAAAATGCGGATTACGTTGTTACACCTACAAATAATGTAAAATTACGGCGTTACACCTATTAAAAAATCGCGGACCACGGTCACTCTATCACAAAATTCAATAAACAACGCTGCGTGAACGTCGGCGAAATCGCATCCATCGTTTGTGCGACGTGCGTAGCGCACACGTACTTTGATCTATCTTCTAGTCTTAACTATCTCGCGCCGCAGCCACTGATCGCGGCCGCATTGAGCCGGGTTGTCGTCTGCTCAGGCAGGGGACCTTCAACACGGGTCGCCCTTGCCACGGTGGTAGCGTCAGCCGACGGACGACAAATATGAGTAACCTAGATCGAAAAACCGATGCCAGCTTGAGCCAACCGTTCTGCCCGAAACCAGACACCATTGCTTCACTCTTTGCTTCCCAATCACCTCGATTAATATATAAATTAAATAATCAATTAACCATCGTATTCGCCAATATTTTCCATCGGACTAGATCGTTACGGCTGACACCCTGGAATGCATTCTAGGAAGTAAAGAAAGATAAGAAAGACACGGATAACATATAGAATGAGGGAAGATAAGAAAAGGATAATTATCTTTACTTCAGCTAGCAACTTATATATGTATATAAGGCATATCTATGCGATGGTTAATAAGTCAGCGCCGTGCACACGCACGCTACGCACGCACGCCACCACACACACCACACACACTGAGAGAGAGCGAAAGCCACAACAACACACGCCATAGAAGAGAGCGTTATGCAACACACACACGCCCCACATGCACGAAGCTCCGCACGCCACCGCGGCCGCGCGCGCACACATCAGACACATCAGTCACCGCACACACACACACATACACAAGCCACACGCGACGCACGGCGGTCACCACGCACGCACACACACACACAACACGCTGCATTTCACATTTTTTCTAGGTGTAACGCTTGTATTCGCATTTTTTGATAGGTGTAACGCGTGTTCACATTTTTTCTAGGTGTAACGCTTGTATCTGCATTTTTTGATAGGTGTAATATGTACCCGCATTTTTTAAGAGGTGTAACGCGTATCCGCATCTTTTGATAGGTGTAACACGCGTTCGCGTGTCTGCATTTTTGTATAGGTGTAACGCATGTCTGCATTTTTTTATAGGTGTAACGCTTGTATTCGCATTTTTTGATAGGTGTAACGCGTGTTCACATTTTTTCTAGGTGTAACACGTATCCGCATTTTTTGATAGGTGTAACACCCAAAAAATGGGATACCAGATCTTTGGGGGTGATACCAGATTTCAATACCTGGTATCCCGAATGGATACCATAATAAAAATCTAATTTCGACCCCTGAATGCGTGTCTGCATTTTTCGCGGCTAGGCAAGAATGTGACTATGCTGCGCTCTAGTGAGCGGCGGCAATACATGAAGCCATCAGCAACCGCCTCATACCTTTGTTGTCAGTGAGACCTAAGCTACCCCGGTCTTCTGCAGGGATTTCGAATGTGCAATCGCATGTAGTTATCATGTATATATTCTATATATCGATTGTTTGGTCGTTCGGTGGCACCACTTTGCGGAGCGCGTCGGTTAACATAAGACGCCGATGATGGTGTAATAAAGTGTGTTCTTTTGTTTGTGAAGGTGACCTACAGAGGGCGCTAGAGCTGAGTCGGCGCGCGATCGAGGAGGATGAGAGCGAGGAGCTGAAGGCAGCCATGATGCTTAGCATTCAAGGTAACGATCCTGATCACGTGCACACGCAGACGATAATTCCTAAAGTTCCCAATTTTACCATATTCGAAGAACGAAGCATTTACCTATTAATTACCCGATTTACCAATTATTATCCGAGGGTAATTTGCAAATAGTTGGAATTAATCGGAATGTAAAGCCGACCGAATGTTCTCCTACTTTTGCTATGCGTGATAAGGTTTCTGCTCGTGTGCTGTGCTAATAATAACCTCGTAACCTCGTAAATATCAGTCTTCAAAGTCCAAGGGACGATATCGAAGACGGAAGAGACAAGTTGATCAAATAGACAGATCAACACTGCACATTACAGTAGAAAAAGCTTCAAATTTGCAATTTACTAACGAGGAAGGGAGAGAAAAATTAATAAAATAGATAAACAAAATTATTATCTTAATCGCGCATGCAGACAATACTTCCTAAATTTCCCAATCTCAGCCTAGGAGTATCGTATTGACAAGCGGTTGGTCTTGTTTTAGAGAGCAAAGAATTCTGCTTAATGCAATACCATAAAATTATTCTAGACTCGCAGGCAAAGTAGAATAATCATGTAGTGAATTAGCACTATTTTCCCGTTTTCCGTTGTAAACTCTAGGTATTATAAGCTCTTGATGTTATTCATATCGAACTCATACTCATGTGCTCATAAGGGCAATTCAATGTGAAAGTGAACATGAACATAGGACAATAAAATTATCATTTCAGCTAAAAATGATATGCTATTATTTTCTTAACACCCTAAACCTTCAAGAAATTCAAAATTTAACTATTTTGTTTTGTGAATCTGGATATGGTTGCAGTCAATCAATTTAATATTAGTATTTTATAAAATGAAACTTTTAGAAAAATGTTTTATGTAAATTATGAGATTGTGAACTTCTACTGTTCTATGAAATGTGAAAATCCTAATGGTACAGTTTTCAAATACAATGTCCACTTGGTGTCCCGTCCGACACATGACTTTATGTGTGGTTCTCTTAGTACAAACAATTATTGAGCAATTGTTTTCAAGTTGCAATTTAAATACATGATATAATGTTTATATTGTTAGATATATTTCTAAAATCTGACATGAACAACTGTAAAAAATGCTTAAATAACCCATAAAAATGTCCCGTCCGACACGTATGGAATCGCCCATAAGCTGTTTGCTCGTTTCTCATATGGAACGCTTCTATGTGCAGACAGCGGGGTGTTACGTGAGGGTGGTAGGGGTGCATGACCGTGTCCTACTTTCGCTACGTGTGAGTAGGCGGAGTGAGAAGTCTGCTCGTGTTTCTCATGCGAATGCTCCTTCTATGTGCAGACAGCAGGGTGTTACGTGAGGGTGGTAGGGGTGCATGACCGTGTCCTACTTTCGCTACGTGTGAGTAGGCGGAGTGAGAAGTCTGCTCGTGTTTCTCATGCGAATGCTCCTTCTATCTGCAGACAGCGGGGTGTTACGTGAAGGCAGCGGGGGTGCGTCCCCGGCAGTCGAACCGTCGCCGTCGGACGTGCGACAGAGACGGCAGGCGTTTCTCGACAGACTGGAGCGACAAGGAGGCGCCACGAACGTGACAGAAGCGGGGCAACGCAGCTGTGCCGCGGCCACCACGGCGGAGCAGCCAGGGGGCGCCACCGGCAGTATACGGGGGCCTTCCGCGAGTGCGACCGAACCGTGGCAACCGGGTAGGTTCGCGTTTGAATTTTTTATTTATTTTTTTGGTATTTGAATCAGTAGAAGTACTTCGGTAATACTGTTGTATTTAGAATGCTAGATTGGGTCTTGTTGGGTTAGATTCAAATGAGTATTTTTTTTAATGTTAATGACAATTTTATGGGGCGGTGCGTGAATGGTGTAATGTTGGAGCTTTGGATTGTATCTCGTTGGGTTAGATTCGAACGAGTTTTAAAAAAAAATCTTGATAATTTTCTGGGGTGGTTCGTGAATGGTGCGTAAGCTGGTTTCGAGGTTGGAGCTTTTGTGGTTGTCCGTTTCAGTTAGTGAAATGTCAGAGGATGAAATGCTACTGGCAGCTATACATCTATCCATGGAAACGAAATGATGCGGTCTCTGGATCGGAAACTGAACGTGGTGCTGAAAGTATCGATGTAAGCTATCCAAGTTCTGACATACTGAGGTTTTGGAGGGAGGTAACAGTGCAACCGCCAGCGGATTAACAAAGCTTCGATTTTAGCGAAGATTAGATTCTCTCACGGCGAACGTGGTGTGGAAGATCAACGACAGTTGCAATGGTAACGAATTGCAGATAGAATGTGCTGTTACTTTGTGTGATCAACGTCATGCATCTTTGCCATGCTCGTGAATTTAAACCTCGTGCGTACATTCCCGCATTATACGTGCATGCTAATGGCATGGCATGCATTAGGGTTTTGGTTGAATGAGAACGGGTTGTGAATGGTGGAAAATATTGAGGAATTTTATCATCTCCAAAGAGTATGTACAGAGTGTTTATTTTCGGATCTCACGACAGGTTCATTTCCCTGTTATAGTCCTTACGATTATCCTGATGTCCAGTTAGTACTGGCAGGGGTTAATAATGACAAAAATTATTAGTATTAATAAATAATTGATTAATTAAATAATAATAAATTAATAATCATTGTTAACCCCTGATACTCGTTAACTATACTTAGAATTTCGTTTCATGAGAAGTTTTGTTCATAGATGACGCCACCGGATAAGTCGGCTTTCCAGGAACAGCAGCGTAAATAAGTATTGACTTCTGTAATCACGCTTGTAGCCTAAATGTATTGTGATTGACAAACAGTGTACATTTTGTGTGTAAATAAATGAATGTTTGAAATTATTCACGACGACATTTCTCTCAAGGTTTTATATTTTGTTGGAAACTAACAGTATGAAAATGTTAACGACATTCACACGATTTTCATGTTCTCGCTAATATTCTATTCTAACTATAGATTATTTATGGGATTAAATAGCTGAAAGTCCCTCATTTTTAAATAATGCAATCGAAGCGATACAAATAAGTTTGGCATCGGTTATTGAGTTATGGCAGCTTGTTTTTTAGCGAGTGTCAACACGTTTTGAATGTTCGGGTGCGGTGTTCACGTCGGTTCTAAAGTCAAATGCGACATGAGTGATTTGATATCTATTTCAAATGCATTTCCCTGTAATTGTCCTGCCTTTCTGGCATTGTCGATATCTTGTCTGCCTTTTCTATGAGTTTTTTGCCTTGTTAGTTTTGGGACGGCCGGGCGTAATTAACTTCATGACGTAAATATGCTGCATATCTTATAAACTCACGGAAGGTCATGTTGTTGATATCGTCTGTTGCTGTCTCTCTGAGAGTTATTTTTAAACTGTAACGTTAGCTCGTCTCTTCTGAAGATGGCACTAGTTTTTTGGCTGTGCCACTTGCGCGGATTGGGCAGTGAACGCAGGTCTGTTTTCTCGGTGCCGTACTGTGTGGTAGAGTTGCGACCCAAGCTGACATATGGCCAGTAGATCTAAGTACGATGGCGTGCCACCCCCCACCCACTAGTGCATCAGTGCAGAATACATGCCACCCACCAGCGCATGACAGTGCGCCGAGTTTTCTTTGGTTTATTTTAGAAAATTGTACCTCCGTGTACAGCTGGAAATTAATATCTAACTCTTGTTAATGTTTTTTTCATTTCTGTTATGCTATGATTTTTTTTTACAAATTCTCCACGAGAAGGCATCGTTCCACCACCTCAGTCGTATCTACCCGATATACACATCGTCCTTGAGGTGTTATTTTAAATCGTTAAGGGTTTACATATGCTGTACTTAAACTTCTGTTTTCATTCAGTTCAGTGAAGTATTATTTTTTATTTACACGCGCACGCACACACACGCTCGCACGCGCTCGCACGCACGCACGCACACGCACACACACGCGCGAAATCATGCACTTAGAAACTGCATAAATTCGTGTGTGTGGACGACATCCTTCCGAATTTACGTGGTTTCTAAATGTACGCGATTTGCTTTGATGCTAATCCCCGTATGCAGTGAAATGCTCTTCTGAAATTTAAATTTACATTTGTGCACACTGTGTACGTACACCGTGCTTGAACTAAAGGTTGATGACTCTGTCTACCTTCGATCTGCAAGTGCTAATAAAGTTCAGTAAGTAACCCTGACGATATCACGTGTCCTAAAACTGAGATAAGTAGGTGCATGCGTGCCTAGAGCAATCCTGTATATCCGTACGTAGGTCTGCGGGTCGCCTTGTTAAATCACAGAGGTGCAAACGTGGTGATCTGAGTAGTAGTAGCTAGTAGTATATATATACTTTTTGTATATATGTAGGCCTACGCCCGCATGCGCGCACGCATAAATTCTATTGACACCTGGCAGCATATAATATCAGGATCGTGAATAATAATATATTATTAATTATTATTTATTATTATTCAATCCCGATAATATAGTAGCGTGAAATAGGTGAATGCGAAATCACGCATATTTAATCTCGTTACGTCACGAGCCAGCTGTTGTCCAGATGATGCAAGCAAGACAGAATTATGAAGGCTGTTGTTATTTTACGCGTGTAGTTGTAGTGAATGCATGACACAGGACCAGCAACCTCACACTGCATACGTTTTGCACGTTATGCGTTTTTGCCGGAAATGCACAAAAACCACGCATTGCAAATAATCACGTTTGTTAGATAAAACGCACAAGGCTTCCGGTTTTTTAGCTTCTTTGTTTCTGTAATTCCGTATTGGAATTTTCTCCCTTCCTCTTTAGTAAATTGCACATTTGAGGCTTTTTCTACTGCGATCGGCAGCGTTGTTCTGTCTAACTGATCCTCTTTCCGTCTTCGATATTTGGACTTTGAAGACTAATAATTACGATCGTTACGAGGTTTTGTTCTTCAGTCAAAGACGTTCACTAGCGCTAGTAGTTGTAGTAGTAGGCCTCCGGCAGAGCAGCGTAAATAGTATACGTCACGTGACTAGTAGCGTTTATACAGGGTAGTGACGTAACACGCGTACATCCTGCGTGTTTATCACACATCCTGTTTAGCATAAGATGCTCTCATGACACATCATAACAGCATGACTAGAATCTTCGTGCACTCCCGATTCTCTATTCGTGAACTCCCGATAATATATTATGTGTATATGTCGTTATTATGCCCATTATACGCGGTGAGTTGTGCATAATATGCATGCATTTCGTGCGCATATATGGTATCACGTGCGCCATATGGGGTGTCCTTAATTTGGGGTGTGCTACTAGTGGATCTCAGAATAGCGTCAAAATATAGACTGACCCCAGACGTTCCCTGGGGGCTGCATGAATTCACATTCAAAGTTGATGTAAGCAGAGATCGACTTCTGAAGCTACTTGTCAGTAGTAGACTTGTTTGTCAGCCTACCTAAAATCGTAAAAAATATAATTGAGCACAATTTATTCGTCTCCCGTCATATGAGCAGGCTTGGTAATGGCATATATATATATATATATATATATATATATTATCCAGGCCTGTAGCCAGCTTTATATTGGGGGGGGGGGGGGTTCGTTTTTCAATGTTGGCAATTTGCTCGGCTAGGGGGCGTGTACAGGATTTTACCAGGGGGGGTCTAACCGTAACAAAGTTGCGAGCACGCGTAAGGGGGGGTCTGGGCCCCTTATTACACTAAAATGGAGCTACCTGAGGTGAAATTCTTGCACATTTTCAAATTTTTTTTTATTTATTTGGGGGGCTTGGGGGGGGTTTCGTTCGAACTCCCCGAACCCCCCCTGGCTACGGGCCTGTATATCGACACATGCGGATACATCATAAAATCTGAACGGATCAGGGTTGTGTGTAGATTAGTTTTTGGTAAGAATTATTTTTCACATTCGTAATTATTCATTTTTATGCACCTTTTGCATACATTTGCTATAATAGTTTCAATCGCTAAACACCTATAATTTTAAATGTACAGCATACTTGCAGTTGTATGAACTAGTGATGTATATGCCTTTGTTATTATTTATCGCCTTCCTTAGTGTTCCTATGCGTGGGTGATAAAAAACTCATGGAATATTTAAGGTCATTTTTTATGTCTGGAAAATCCTGGAGGATAGGCTAGTATTGTTAGGCCCTGGGATGTTATTGAAAATGTGGACATGTTATCAGGAGCGTATAATGACAAATATATACGCTCATGTCATTATACGCTCTTTGTCATTATACGCTCCTGATGTTATCCATGTCTGAGAGTCAATAGAATTTCTTTCATGTAATAGTTTATTCACTAATTGTTGGTTGGACGATACAAAGTACAAATGTAGTATTCGGCCAAAATCTCTTCGGTGTAGAAAATGGTCTATTTCTAGAAGTATTGGAAAACTGGAAAATACCTGGAAAGTGATTATATAGCGGGTTTATTAGCGGTTTCATTCTCTCGTGATTTCCGTATTTTCTCAGCTCTTAATTCTTTCTTATCTCTCTTCCCTCCTCTTGTCCCTCCCGTTCTCCCTTGTTTTCTGACCTTCCCCTCCTCCTCTTTCCCGCCTGCCACACTATATGCTAACTGCATGTCAACTTCTGTTTTCGCTACATTGTTTTCGATCACCGTCCCTATACATGGCCGTACTAGACATGGCCTCATATTACTGGTCCCTGTGGCTGCCATCACCAATGACTTATACACAGTAGGTCTACCCCTTCCCCATCTGTGTCTTCTTCTCTCACGCCTTGATCTCCCACCTCACCTTCCTCCTCATCCTCTAATCCCACCCTCCCGCTTCTCCCCTCCCTGTTTTCCCACATTCACTAGTTCCCCTCATTCGCCGTCCTTCGCTCCACTCACACGCCACTGTTACTACAAATTCGTTCGCCTGCCGTCCCCGGATTATATCCGTACAAAAAAACCGTCATTTTTGTCCTCCGTGACATTTTGTCTCTTGTGATTTTGCACACATTTTCTGCGCATCGCAAAAAGTGCGTTATATTTGCTCCTGCCGTTTCGTATAACCAACAATAATTATGTGTGTGCGTGCACGCGTGCGTGCGTTCGTGCGTGCGAGCGAGCGAGCGTGCGTGCGTGCGTGCGTGCGTGTCCATGCTAATCACCATGCAAGTGTAGTTCCAGCAGCTCCAGGGTCTGCCTGCCTGCCTGCCTGCCTCAGTATATGGCTGTAATGACCCACATGTATGTTGTTTACCAGCGCGAGCTGTGTGCCGACAGCCGGTGATGGGAAGTTCAAGGTTTGACGGCTGACGCAAGACAGGGGGGGGGGGCAACTCACTGACGGAATGGCGGCAGCTATCGTAGTCGTGTTGGGGGGAGGGGGGAGGAGGGTACGCGGAAGAAGGAGGGGAGGCGGTGGAAGGAGGGTACGCGGAAGAAGGATGGGAGGCGGTGGAAGGAGGGTACGCGGGGGAAGGAGGGGAGGCGGTGGAAGGAGGGGAGACGGTGGAAGGAGGGTAGACGGTGGGAGGAGGGGAAGGTGGTTTGGAGTCGCCGCCACCATACTCTCTCTCGCGTTTTGCTCCGGTAGCGTTTAGTCGTGCGATTCGTGAGCCAGAAACCGGGAAACAGACGGTGCCTGCAACGTTGGCTTGTATGTCTTGTATACGTTTGTGTGTGTGTGAATGTGTGTGCGTGCGTGCGTGCGTGCGCGTGCGTGTGTGTGTGTACACTACGTGTGTGTGTGCGTGCGTGCGTGCGTGCGTGCGTGCGTGCGGTGCGCGCGCGCGCGTGTGTGTGTACGTACGAGCCGACGTGTGTGTGGTGCGTGCGTGCGCGTGCGTGTGTGTGTGTGTGTGTGTGTGTGTGTGTGTGTGTGTGTGTGTGGGGGTGTGTGTGTGTGTGTGTGTGTTTTG